TGTGCCTCACACAGTGACGCTTACCCATTTAACGCAATCCGTTCATTTATTAAGAGTATTAAACTTTTTCAGAACTCTGTTCCAAAACAATACAAGGTCACACAAGTATCAGTACGGTAACAACAATAAGATGCTTTTTCCTGCCACTGCCACTACTGCTCTAAGCGATATGCAGATTTCCGCAATCTCCATAGTGACAGAATGACTGCAACTGTAGGTTATGTTCCTCGTTGTGTTGAATCGAAGCCAAGCGGAATACAATCGTCCCAAGAACTGGAATCTCAGTTCGAGCAGTTTCTACTTGTATAGCTGCCTCTCCTTTTGTGAGGCTGGAGCTTCTGCCTGGCTTATACGCAAGATCCAGTAGGGGTTATGTTAATTCTCCGTCGCTTGCATAGCTAACCAGAATTGTTATGACGAGCTGCAGCATGCTCTGCACTTTGCCACTATAATTAGCATCTTTCGGAACGATGCAAACGCAAGCTGAGATTCCAGTTAATTCATTCAATCTTATCCACTTTGGGTGGAACAGCAGCAGCGTTTTGCTTTTGATGGATCAGAAAATTAATTGAGTAATTTCATGTTCTACCGTGAGACACCTTCGACTAATCCACACCCATCAATCATCGCCTAAAGTTAGACAATGCGATTGTGGCTAAATCTCTCGGACACGCACGACGAAGCTTTTAGGCAGCAGACAGGCACAAGCCACAAGGGACAGCGAGAGAAACGAGACTGAAAGCTTCTGCATGGTCGGACAGTGTTGCTGCAAGGCTTAAAATAAAATTAAGAAGCTAGACAGCTTCTTGCAAGCGATAGAAAATGTTTACCAAGAAAAAACCCACAATCAAATCTGCCACAACCGATAAATCCCTTTTTGGTTTCCCACCCACCCGTGGGTGTTAGCTTTTTTCATTTTCCGATAGCCACCTACACACAACAGGAAAATTGTAGATTATTTTCCCGTTTTGTGTAAAATATAAACAGAATCCACCAATAACATAGATGGAACCTAACGGTTTAACGATTTTCAACAATAAAAAATGTTCATGAAAAAGTTGCTTCAACGCAAACCCATACTTACTGTTGATGTATTTAGACTGGCGTGCACAGGGTGGGGCAAGGTGAGACAATTACCCCCCCCCCCCCTTTATTAATTTGATATTTATTTCCACATTTATAAAATTATGACATAAATTAATTTGATTTCTTGATAACTTGATTTGAAGGTAAAATAACTTCATTTTATAACTCAAAGGGCACTGATAACCTTTTATTGCGTCAATTCCTTCGAGATGGTGCATGAAAACTGCACTACAAAGGTGCATGAAGGGTCAGAATTCAATGAAATTGTTTGGTTAAAAAATTGCACCACAGTGGTGCATTCAAAAAATTCTGGTGTAAATTCTTTTTTTTTTGGAGGATGGAGGATTAAAAGAAAAGGGTGAATTTAAGGTTAAAGAAAATTCACCTTCGTGGTGGTTAATAGAAGAAAAAGCTTTTTACAAATATCATCAAGGGTGTGCATGGAGGGACTGATCAAAATGAATAACTCTGGTGAAAGATTGAAACACGCCAAAAATTTGGAGGTGCACATTTAGCTGAAAATTTCTGGTGGAAAGTTCGCAACACTGTGGAGAATGTAAAATGAAGCTGCTTCACTGAAAATTTATGATGAAAAATCTGAACATAGGGGCAAGCTTTATTTGGTGGAAAACCTGCAATGATCTAATGATAGGAGAAACCAGCTATATTGAAAATGTTTGGTGGAAAATGGTGAAAAATTTGCATTGTTCTGGACAATTGTAATTTTCTGGTGTAAAATTACCTGGGGGGCAAGTTTGTATTGAAAATTTCTGGTGTAAGATTTGCAACAATCTGAATTGAAAATTTCTAATGTAAAAATTGCACAGTTTCGGTGAATGGAGGGGCAAGTTTTATTAAACATTTCTGACTACAACGTTTTGCGGAATGGACGGACAACTTAAACTTGACTTCCAAGAAAAACCTCAAGGGTATTGAATTCTAAGGACAGTTTCAAAAGAGAATTTTTCTGGGGATGATTTCATGAAAATTCCGTGAATAATTTCTAATGAATCTTGCAGATAGTTCCAAGATAATTTCGAAAAGAGTATCGAGAGTCTCAACGAGAGAATCAAATTTTGAATGAAATTATAAAGGGATGCTGAGGAAAATTTCAAGGGAATTCCGAGGATAATTTCAAGCTCATTCCGGGAAAAAATTCTGGAGAATACAGAGGAAATTCTTCAGAAACTTTAATGGAATTTCAGTTCCAAGGTGTTCTGAGAAAAAAAAATCCAAACTATTCCGAGAAGAACCTCATTCTTAGGTATTTCTGAGGAGAATTCAAAGAAAATTCTACGGATAATTTCTAGTGCATCCTGCACATAGTTCCAAGATAATTTCGAAAAGAATACCGAGAAAATCAAATTTTGAGTTAGATGTCAAAGGGATTTTAAGTAAAATTTCAAGCGAATTTCGAGGATAATTTCTAGCTCATTCCGGGAAAAATTTCTGAAAACCAAAGGAATTTCAATTCCAAGGTGTTATAAGAAAAAATCATGAAGAGTTCTAAACAAGGTTGCAAATACTCATTTCAGCTAAAATAATGTTTTTCGGAATAATAAAACCAAAAGATGGTATGATAACATGTTTTACTTGTAACTTACAAGAAGAGGTTACGAAGTATGCGTTTGAAACATAAAACCTGTAAATTTGGCTATCTATGAGTCACAATTAACGATTTTCTGATCGCTGAGTGAGTGAGTGAATGATTGTGTGAAAAATCGCTGATTGTGACACTCATGAAGTGAAATAAACAGGTTTAATATGTCAAACACATTCTTTGCAACCTCTTCTTGTATCTGACCAATTCAAAATATGATCATAGCATTAAATTATTTCATAATTAAATAAAATCATTATATCAGCTGAAATGAGAATGTGCAACCTTGGTTCTAAACATAATTCCAGTGGACTACTGAGAAGAATTTCAAAGGAGCTCTTAGGAGAGTTCTAAAAAAATCTGATGTGAACCTCAAGGCTATTGAATTCTGAGAACAGTTCCAAATGCTTTCTGGGGAGTATTCCTAGTGAATTCTGTAAATAATTCCAAGATAATTCCGAAGAGAATATATTAAATTTTGAGTGAAATTCTAAAGGGATTAAGAAAATTTCAAGGGAGTACCGTTAATTTCTAGTTCATTCAGGGAATAATTTCTGGGTAATACAGAGGAAATTCCACTGAAACTCTAAGCGCATACTTTGCCCTGGTGGCTGACCACTTCATGAACATTCGAAATGAGCGGAAAGTGTGCCACCTAGTAGGTGGCTAACTACGATCCTGTGCTGGAAAAAACACTTGGCGGAAGGTGCCAAAAATTGCCAGTACACAAATAACCGTATTCAAAATGACTTGATTACGTCGTTGCACAATGTTATGTTGCAAAACCAGTGGCAATTTTTGTAGATGAGACGAGCGATTGTGGCCACCACGAATAGTTGGTGATTGTCATCAGGTATATTGATAATGATGGGATTAAATTGCCAATTTCATAAGCTGTCTGAAAGCAGTTTGCATTGAAGAAGATGAACCACCACCGGAGCAAAACAAATAAATAAAATTAACTAAATTGAACAGTAGGGAAACAGTCGTGGGTGGATATCACCATCAACCACCACTTTGGAATACTCCCCATCCTCAGATTAAATGCACCATAGAAAAAAATGCCCCTCCTTAACAAGATTCCTGTGCACGCTAGTGGGTATTTACCATTCGTTTTACGTGTACCGACCTACAACTGAACCGCAACCGAATCCAATGCATCGTCTTCACTCGATTACCCCACCGGCTTTCCGCATGATTGACCACAAGCGCTGATACAGCGCCATTTCCATTCATTTTTAATTTCCGTTTTATAATTAGTTTTCCACTTTGGAATCCCAGTTAGTCCCGTTTGCGCAATAGTACAATCCTTTGATCGCATAAATTGACGACGACGACGACGATGGTGGCGGCATCGATGATAGGATAGTGTTTCTTAAGGCTTCTGTTCGTTTCTGCCGCAGGTAGCAGCTTTACCAGATTATACTGATTCCCGGTCAAGAAATTTTGCTGTAGGTACCGAACAGAGCAAGCAACAATTCCCCAAAGATGACAATCTTTTCAAGCATGACAATCCCATGGATGCTGAACTAAAGTCAGAGTGCATTCTATGAATGTTCTAGCTCTTTTCCGTTTTCCGAGTTTGATTCTTCCCAGTCCGGTGGATGGAAAAACGAAATTCGGCTGTTGATTTATCATAAGTTGCGCTAAATTAAGGTACATATCGTTGGTTTCATGCAATGCTGTCACAACTAAAAAATTACCACCATGAAACAAGCAACTCATGGGATTCCCGATCAATTTCGACCTATTCTTTACAATAGCAAAGTGAGGGGGTGCGACGCGAACACTGGCGCGGTAACCATAACACGGCGATATAGGAAATGCTTCGTCAACCCGCAGGAGTGCCAACCGGCACATTAGGATCAACGCCTGTAAGATCCTTATTACGGCATACTGGACACGGCATGGAACTATGGACACGACAGGGCAAATGGACTGGATACCACGCTACAGGGCTGACAGTCGTGCTATTCTGCACCTTCTTGAAATGGCGAGTGGGCTAATAGTGCGGCTGCCCCCGTCCCGGTAAAACCTTGGCAGGCCTCCGGATACGTTCAAAACTCGTCACCAATTGGTGATTGGTGAGTAGAAAGCTCAGATGTAACATTCCTGACTTACACCGATCTGGCTCTGAACACGGCCCCCATGAAGGACCGTGTCAACCCTAGCATGGTCTCCCTGCTTGCATAGATAACCATGAGATCACGATAGGAGACTACATACAACGAGTGGAGATAGCGGCCCGGAAGGGGGACCCATCAGAATGGATAACATTGGAGAAGACGAAAACGAAAAAACCAAATAAAAAAATATGAAGGACGACGGCAAGACGCCAGATAGTGAAAACGGAGGAGCGAACGTGTTCGCAAGAAGCGGAAAGCTGCAGAGATCACCAGCGTCAAACCAGGTGACCACAGCGAGTTCCAGTAGTAGCATACCCCAAGTGGAACAGCATGGACCCCAAGGAGAGCAGTTAGGTGCGGTGCCATGCCAAATATTCACACCGAAATCCAGCAGTGGCAAACAGCAAGAATTGCAGCTTGGGAGAACCAAAATGACGGAGGTTAGGAAGAAGATCGAAGAACTCTATGTGTTCGTGAAGGATAAGAACAACATACACAAGGAGGTCAAGCTACTAGCGACGGTCATCAAATCCGGCATATCTGTGGCAGATCGGGAACTGCAAGAATGGAGAAGAAGAGCCGAAGCGGCCGAAAAGGCTCTGCTTGAGGCCAAGGAGAATGCAATGCTGGCTGTAGCGCAGGAGACGCCGAAGGGACAAACGAACCCACGTCCGAAAAAAAAAAGAAATAGGGAAACGCCAGGAGTCGAAGAGGACCCAAAAAAACACAAGGACGACGAATACGGGGACAAGGGGCAAGAAGATGGAGAAGACAATGATTGGCGTAAAGTCGAAAACCAGAAGGAGAAGAGGAAAAAACTGAAGGAAGAGGAAAAAAGGAAGACGGAACAGAAGAAGGAGGAGGAGAAGGAAAAGAAGAATGAAGAGGAAGAGAAGAAGAAGAAGACGGAAGAGAGGAAGAAGGAAGTCAAGAAGAAGGAAAACCCCAGGCATCGTAGGGAGAGAAGTAAGGGCGACGCTCTGGTTATCGAGGCGAAAGATAAAACGACATACGCAGCATTCCTCCGGATAGTGAGAGAGGATCCGAAGTTAAAGCAACTGGGCGAGAGCGTGGTGAAAACCAGGCGCACCCAGAAAGCTGAGCTGAAGAAGGACCCGTCGGTGAGGAGTTCAGCCTTCAAGGAACTCGTCGAAAAATCTCTTGGCGAGGACACGAACGTATGAGCCTTATCCCAGGAGTCAGTGGTCGAGTGCAAGGATCTGGATGAGATCACAACGGAAGACGAGGTACGATGTGCGCTGAAGGTGCAAGGCAATCTGGGAGATGTGCCTATGACAATCCGGTTGAGGAAGACTTACGGTGGTACACAAACGGCGTCGATACGACTTGCGACGGACGCAGCTAACGAGTTGCTGAAGACAGGACGAGTCAAAGTTGGGTGGTCAGTATGCCCCCTGAAAGCTATCCCTCGGGTTACCAAGCAAATGGAAATATGCTTTAAGTACATGAACTTTGGTCACCAGGCGAGAAACTGTAAAGGCCCTGATAGATCGGATCTGTGCAGGAAATGCGGAGAGAAGGGGCATGTTGCTAAAGACTGTATGAAGCAACCGAGGTGCATGCTCTGCAGAAAGGAGGACGGAAACGGTCATATGACGGGAAGTTTCAGGTGCCCAGCTTACAAAAAGGCAATAGCGGGCCAATAGTAATGGAAATAACCCAAATAAATCTCAATCATTGTGACACAGCACAGCAACTGTTGTGGCAGTCGACAACGGAAACAAAGTGCGACGTTGCAATGATTGCGGAGCCGTATCGAGTCCCTCCCGATAACGATAACTGGGTGGCCGATAGAGCAGGGATGGCGGCAATACAAGTTATGGGCAGGTATCCCATACAAGAAGTGGTGACGAGGTCTTACAAAGGTTTTGTGATCGCCAAAATTAATGGAACCTTCGTATGTAGTTGCTATGCACCCCCGAGATGGACAATGGAGCAGTTTCACCAGATGCTAGATGGACTCACCGCGGAGCTCACCGGACGGAGACCAATCGTCATTGGAGGAGATTTCAATGCTTGGGCACTGGACTGGGGAAGCAGATGTACCAACGCAAGAGGGTATAGCCTGCTGGAAGCTCTGGCCAAGTTGGACGTCTGTCTGGCCAACGAAGGAACCATCAGCACCTTCCGCAAAGATGGTAGGGAATCCATTATCGACGTCACTTTCTGCAGTCCGTCGTTAGTGACAAGTATGAACTGAAGAGTGTGTGAAGAGTACACTCATAGTGACCATCAGGCGATTAGGTACAGCTTTGGCCAACGGATACCTATGGCAATGTGGAAAACAAAAGTAAGCAAGCGGAGGTGGAAGACGAAGGCATTCGACAAGGACCTCTTTGTAGAAGCTCTCCGGGCAGCGTCCCAGACCAAAACGCGAACAAGTTGACCGAATCGTTAGTGAGGGCATGCGACACAACAATGCCGAGGAAATCGGAACCAAGGAACAGACGGCGCCCAGCTTACTGGTGGAACGAGGCACTTAGCACCCTCCGCGCTAGTTGTCTCCGAACCAGAAGGCGCGTTCAGAGAGCAAGAACTGATGCAGACAGAGCAGAGCGAAGGGTGGTGTTTCGAGCAGCCAAGGCCGCTCTAAAACGGGAGATAAAGCTGAGCAAGTCAAACTGAAGATTAGAGGTCCAACGATGCCCATTGAAATGTGCCCAGACAAGCTGAAAGTCATCGTGGAGGGACTTTTATCGACAACGCTCTGGAACGTGATGTACAACGGCGTGCTCACGCTGAAGTTGCCCAAAGGAGTTGAGATCGTAGGATTTGCGGACGACGTCGTGTTGGCGGTAGTAGGCGAGACGTTAGAAGAGGTTGAAATGCTGGCAACCGAGGCAATCGACACGGTTTCTAACTGGATGCAAGGAGCGAAGCTGCAGATAGCCCACCACAAAACGGAAGTGCTATTTGTCAGTAACTGCAAAGCTGTTCAGCGAGCAGAAATTACCGTCGGGGAGAACGCCATAGCATCAAAGCGCGTGCTGAAGTATCTTGGAGTGATGATCGATGACCGGCTAAACTTCAATAGCCACGTCGACTACGCATGTGAGAAGGCGGCGAAGGCCATCAATGCGATAGCCAGAATCATGCCTAACAATTCTGGACCAAGCAGCAGCAAGAGGCGTCTTCTGGCTAGTGTTTCGTCGTCGATACTGAGGCATGGAGGTCCAGCCTGGGATGCAGCGCTGAAAACGAAGAAGAACCAAAGAAAATTGAACAGTACGTTCCGCCTCATGGCCATGTGAGTCGTGAGTGCGTACAGAACAATTTCGACGGAAGCAGTATGCGTTATCGCCGGTATGATACCCATCGTCATCACCTTGGCGGAGGACACCGAATGCTATATGCGAAGAGATACCAGAGGAGTTCAAAAAATGGTGAGAACGGAGTCGATGGTTAAGTGGCAACAGGAATGGGATGCAGCGGAGAACGGTAGATGGACACACAGGCTTATACCGATTCTTTCTACCTGGGTGAACAGGAAGCATGGAGAAGTCAACTTCCACTTGACGCAGTTCCTGTCTGGTCATGGCTGCTTCAGGAAGTACCTGCATCGCTTTGGACACACAACGTCACCCCTCTGTCCGGAGTGTGGCAACGTAGACGAAACGCCGGAGCACGTGTTTTTTTACTGCCCAAGATTTGAGGCAGTGCGAGTGGAGATGTCGGCCCTTAGCGCGAGAAATGTCGTCAGTGAAATGTGCCGGGATGAGAGGACGTGGAGCGTCGTCAGCAGGGCAGTGACGCAAATTTTGTAGGAGCTTCAGCGAAAATGGAGAGATGATCAGCGAGTTAGCAACGCCGGCTAGCTGAGCTAAAGAGAAGTACTTGAGCACAGCCCCCCCCCCCCCCACTTTGAACACTTTGAATGCTTATAATTGAGTTTTTAGTTTGTGCTTTAACTTAGTTTGGGTCCCCGTTGATTACATTATCTAGGGTCATATTGGGACGCGTTGGTTGTGGTACGATTGGAAATCGGGGTAGTATTTTGAAGGACTTGCCTTGAGGAGTCTCACCGGGCACGTGCAAATCTTGCCTCTTCACATGCAAGTGACTCTTTTGCTTTCTTGGCGCTTAAGTGGAGAGGTTGATACACCTAAAAAAGAACCTTTCGGCCAGTAACCCGTTACAAGACAAAAATCAAAAATCAAACAACTGCGGTTGATATTTCAAGCTATGATATCGCAGCACGGAATATCAAGCTAACAAAACTCACCAGCTGTAAATCTCACCAAACTGTCGTAAGATTAAGTTTTCTGACTTTTGTTTTACACCCGAACGCAACCGAAACTTCCATAACGGCTGGCAGCAGTCGCTTCGTGTCTGCCATCGGTGAAAAAAAAAAGAGATAGCATTATTATACCTTTTCTTTCTAATAAACGAGGTGCAACGAAATGATTTTTGCGTAAATTCGACCATAAATCTCTTTAGTATGACAGGACATTGGACCTGCTCAGTAATTAAATCCAAAAACTAAAAACTACGAAAAAACACTAAGGTCCTCGTTAAGTTCCACTTTCACGCGACGATCAGTGATTTTAATTTTCCGTCATTTTCCGTTGAAGTGCTCAATAGACAAAGTGAAATCTTTCAATTTTTTGAGAACCATTTGCAATAAGATATATCCTTAAAAAGAGTTCTTTGATTTCTTCCACACACTTTGAAATTATTATTTTTATACGAGACGTAATTCAGCTTTGACTTAAATCATGGAACGTTAACAAACATGGCATGTAAAATTAAGTGTCTTGCATGTGTCGGTCTCAGGGCACTGAAGTTTACATGTCTTTTCTTAGTGTGTATAAAACTATTTCTATGTAGAACTCGAAATTTGGAACGCGCTAACCATTGAACACATTCGCAAATTATGTTTTACAATGCATTTTTTGTTTATTAATATAAGTGGTTCAATAAACCGATGCTAAATAAAAGTTTTCAAATTATTTATTCAATGCTAAAAAATGTGATATATGCGAACCATTTTTCGTGATAAACCCGGGAGTGATATAAACGGACGATGAACAAAACGAAGTCAAAGTTTGGATGTAATTTGTGTGTGTGTGGAATTTGCATCTCAGTAGCAGGTTTGCCAATAGGTTGAAACCTTTAAGTTGGTCTATCAATTGGCAGTGTGGGAAAGTCGTGTTTGTGTGGGAAAGTTACGCAAACTTCTCTAGTTTGTTGAAACGATCGATCGAAACGCAGAATGCACGTATTAATAAAATTTTCCCGTGAGGGCGATCAGGACACCGCCGATAACTTGATTTATTTAAACCCAAATGCGATTTATTTATTTCCAAAAATAAATATGTGATGGCCAATCATGGAACTCCGACCAGTTCTCTACTCCTCTCAGTCAATCACCAATCAATGCCGTTGCGCGGCTCGTAGCAGTTAACCAGTAATGTAATGTAATACTTATTTCACAGCATCCTGGATAAATATGGCCATCACACATAACGGAGCGTAAGTGCAAATTACCATTTCAATGCCCGTCCAACGTTTGACCGAGAACCCGGGTTGCACCACAATCCTAACAGGTAAATCGAGGTGCGCAAAAATGGGACACAAAATTTACAAATCCACATCACCCTCCCGCTGCTGTTGTGAAATTCCAACAACTGAAATTAAGTTTAAATTATATTCAAATTAAAATAATTTGTTTGTCATACACTTTATCACCGAGGGAGAAAGCGCAACTAAAAACGTTGCAATTGCTAATGCAGCTCACAACATCATTGCCAACATTTCCACCTTCCCCCAATTCGCTGCGAGCTTCCAAATAAGACTCCACCCAATGTTCCAGTTGGTTGATGAATCAAAACCCAAATAAAAGCGCATCGCCTGTTTGGAGAAGTGGAACGAAACCGGGGGCGGCTGCATACGTACCTACATGTAGTGTACATTAGGGTACGAACATAAAACTGATTATGCTGTTATGAAATGCTGTTTGACTGTGCGCTGTCGGTTTGCAGGAGAAACAGTTTTACCGAATTGGAAATGCAGCCGGGAGGGGGAAAGTGAGTGCAACAGTGGAATGGTGTATGTGTGCAATGTGAAGGCAGCCCCAAAGGAAGGTGGGTGCACATCCCGGAACACAGAACGGTGACGACGACGACGACACAACTGCTGTTTTCAGGATGTGTTTGTGTGCGTG